CACTTAAAAGGTATTTTTCGGAATTTTTGATTTTTTGAAATTTTCTCCAAATGTTGGTATGATATACTTTACAAATAACCCAATATAAAATATATATTTATTACGGGTAGCTATACTAAATATGCATAGTGGTGGTAAAGTATCATATAATCGGCTTCACCCGACCTTTGACCTTTCTTTACTGGTCAGAACTGCGGTAGTGACTTTTCTATGGAAGTTTTATGGACAACAATATTCTAGAGACAGTAGCAATATAAAGCATAGCTAAATCGATGGAAGAACAGCTCATTTTTATACCCTCATCCATATGACTGCAGAGGGTATATATCATTTCATAGAAACAACAGTTTTAGACCCTAGGTCTTTTGGGAACGAATCATTTTCAGGACATTTGGATTAGATCTAGGGTTTCCCGCGTCCGTCTCTTTGTTTGTCTGGATGGTGTGCAAGATAACTCTTGAAGCAAGTATCCGATTTGGCCCAAAATTGCTACATCGTAGTATTATTACCAAACTTAGATCGAATTCGGAGACAGGCAACTTAGGCCAACTGCTTCTGGTACCTCCCCCACAAAAGGTAAACATTTCCAAAGAAAACAAGTAAACAAAGGCTATATTCGTGCGGGCCGATCATGTGACACCCCACAACAGTACAATATGTCAAAATCAATTTTGGAATATTTCATTTTTGAAATGATATCATAGATCACTGCCCAGATGTTTTCTTTACGCACTCCGTCGTGTTGTTAGATATTCAAAACAATTTCACACGAAAGTTGTGGTCCATTTTACATCTAAATATAATTCAGTGGTCATCAAAAATGCTAGACTTCTTCTCTGTCCTTAACTCTCTTGTCATGAAAAATTTCGTGTCGATTGGTTTTCAATTGTGACCTGTAGAGGAACAGCAAAATTAGTAAATTTTTCAGATGGTTGGTTCATTTGAACCAAAAACAATAGGCTTCTATTCTGACCCTTACCCTACCCACATGCAAAATTTCGTGAGGATCGGACGGTAGTTGCGACCTGTATATAATACCCTCAACACATAGTGTTTTGGGGGTTGTAGAAAAACTTTAAAAAATGTACAATTCAAAATAGTCAAATGGAAAAAATTGCATGCGATAAAAAAATGACAAACATTGAAAAAATTTAACAAAAATATTCACTTTTTTATTGGCATATTTTTACGAGATTTTCTTAGATTTTATACTTCTCTGATAAGAGACTATTCCGAAATGATGGGAATTGTGGAAATCAGTCCAGCGGTCTTTGACTTATAAGCGGTATAACTAAAATATATTCATGTAACGTATATATTGTACCTATATTGCTATATATCCGATATATTGGCTATCAGCATCACTGTAATGGTCAAAAGTGACCTTTTAATGTATTTGTGATTGGCCGGGATTAAAAATATTCGTGATTTAGTGGAAATTTGCTAGTTTTTTTTATTTATTTATTTATTTATTTTTTTTTTTTTTGTACATAAAACTTATGGTTGATTGTACCGATGGCCGTCCAAATTGGCAGGCTTCTGCCCTGCTCTAACTTTAACTCCATGCTAAATTACGCGTCAATTGGTCTATAATTGTAACTTGTAGAGTAGCTGCAATTTCAAGAAATTGTTCAGTTTTTCGTTCATTTAATATTTTGCGATCATCTCCAAAAACAATAGGCTTCTATTCTGACCCCTCCCGAGCATCATTTTTCAATTTTTTTTAATCGGACCATAAATTCGGTCTATAAAGTGATTACAAATTAACATGGACAGACGGACATACATTTCTAGATCGACTCAGCTCGGCGAGATAGAAATATCCATATATAGTTTCTCATATAGTTTCTCATGGGAACCAATATTTCGAGGTGTTACATAATATTGCCCCAATCAAACTTATAATACACCAACACATAGTATTGTAGGCTAAAAAAAGTATGTACAATTTAGTGAATATCGGTTCAGATATAGCTATAGGTCCCTTAAATTTAGTTCATCGGATTTGTCATTTTTGTGCTACGTAATATGCACTCCGTAACAACGACATTCAGGGAAATATATCAAATACAGCTCATAAATACCTATGCCAAATTTTATCGCGATCGATTTGAATATAGTTCCCATATATATCTTCGTTCGATTTCTCGATTATTACGCGCCAAATGGTTAATATACCTCCCCTACAATAGGTCAAAATTTTCGTAGAAAATATTTGACCTCATAGAACAGGAAAGGTTTATTCAATATTGTTCACAATTTGGAAACATTAATATTTGTGCCAGTGCTAGGTTGGGTTCAAAAATGGGCAACATTGGTGCACTCCGTCAAGTACCTCCTCCACAAAGAGTCAAAATTTCAAATATAAAATTCGAACACCCCAATATTACTTCCAACACAAGATCTGATGTGAAGATGGTAGAGATCGACTCACTCCTCCTGATACCTCCCCCACAACGGGCCAAAATTTTGAACAATTATAACTTTTATAAAATATAAAAAAGTCCTATTGTCTTCGAAGTTGGCACATCTCAATATTTCTAGCCATACAAGATCGGGTGTTAATATTGAATATATCGGACCACTCCTTCTGGTACCTCTCCCACAATCCTTATAACAGAGAAGCATGTCAGCGGTTAGATATACTAAGTATATCTTAATGTTTGACTAAACTCGAGATCTTATGTACATATCGACCCTCTCAAGGGGTCGATATGTACATTAGATCTCTCCGCACGCAAGCGGTCAAAATTTTTAATAAGTCAAGTGTCATATCAATTGAAAATAATTATTCGATGTTTCTTCTAACTTCGCAGAAAGCAATACCTTCATCGACATTAGTTCTATAGTGAATATGGAACTCATCGGCTCAGTCTTTCAGGTACCTACCCCATAAAGGGAAAAATAATAAATTTTTCTATAAGCCAAAGATATAATGTAAATACGGAATATTTCGGTTCACTCTTTCTCAAAGCTCCTCCACAAAAGTTCAACATTTTCCAAAAACAAGTAAAAAAACATTCAGTTCGGCCCTGCCAAACTTTTAATACCCTCCACCTTAGGGTAAAGGAAACATTAGAGCCCATTATGACCTACATATACCAATTTTTAGACATATTCATGGGAAAGTGTGCCAAAAATCATCAAAATTCCGAATATCGGAAATACGGCTATATGAGGCTATACACACAGTGCTAGAACCCATTAAGACCAACAAATACCAATTTCTATACAAATCCGCTAAGAAATGTGGCAAAAGCCATTAAAATGCCGAATATCGGGAGGTACTGTTATATGGGGGCTATACCAAAGCGTGGACCTATACATGCAATGTTTCGCCAAAGGAGCTAAAACCCATTATGACCTGAAAATGCTAATTTTCAGACAAATCCGTGAAAAAATGTAGCAAAAATCAACGAAATACCGAATATCGGGAGGTACCGTTATATGGGGACTATACCAAAACGTGGACCTATAATTACAATGATTCGCCACACGAACTGGGACGCATTATGACCTACAACTACCAATTTCCAGAGAAATTCGTGAAAAAATGTGTCAAAAATCATCAAAATACCGAATATCTGGAGGTCCCGTATATGGGAGCTATACCAAAACGTGGACCTATACATACAATGTCTCGCCACACGAACTGGGACCCGTTATGACCTACAAACACCAATTTTCAGACAAATCCGTGAAAAAATGTGGCATAAATCATCAAAATACCGAATATCGGGAGGTACCATTATATGAGGACTATATCAAAACGTAAAACGATATATCACATTTTCAATACCAACCATCCTAGATACAATACAAATTGCCATGCTAAATTTTGGCGCTCTACGTCAAATAATGTGGGCTGTATCGTGATTTCAACAGACAAACTGACATCGTTAAATCGACTTAGAATTTTAGGCTGATTATGAATATATATACTTTATGGGGTCTACGACGAATATTTAAGGATGTTACAAACGGAATAATAAAGTTAATATACCCTCCTTTCCAAGGTGGAGGCTATAAAATAGCCGAGTAGATATATGTAGTCCAAACCTGGCACCCACAACAATTATATCAGGTCATATACGAAATAGAAAATTTTGCTCCGCTCTTTCGAATGAAATCAATGAATAATCAAGTCAAAATATATTTTATTGTCAGACATAAGTTGAGGTTATATATCCGTCGACAATGTGTTGGTAATACAATAATTACAAAGCTCTTCTTTAGCCACTGTGCAATTGAGTCACCCACGAGTGTATTAACCTCGCTCGAATAATTTCTTTCTATGGAACTTGTGCGTGGATATTTTTGGTGCGGTTGCGTGCTTGAATCATGAGTTTCCGCAAAAATCAAACATAATAGAGGTGTGGAACATGGTCGCCAACGTCAGCAATATATCTAAGGAATCTGTTGTACTGATGGTGCTTGCTGTTTAACGAAAATTTTGAATGTGCGATTTAAAGAAAACAAAAAAAGAATCTACAGCTAATTTAGTATTTTGGGCAAGATTTTCTTATGAATAAAACTACCCATGGATAAATGGGTCATTAGAGTAAGAAACAGCCGTAGAGGAAAAGGCAACAACAATGCTGCGTGATTTGGACGATGGTGGGCGACTGGGTGGCTGATGTTTTTTTCTGTTGTTGTTTCTTTCAAACTGAGATGCGTGTGCCATATCGATACTTACTTAAAATTCTGGACTAGAATTTTGGGGAAATAAAACAGACAATGCTCCAACAATTGTGCTTTACAAACATAGATTTTGTTTTTGTTTCGTTTCACTTAACTTTTTTTATTTTATTTTGTTGCTGGGCTACGCTGCTGTGCTCGTAGTCCGGGCCGGGAATGCCTAAAAAGAAAGTGGTAGTGGTTGTTAAAACTGGGTCAATATTTAATGAAATCGCCAAATCAACACTTGTTCGAAAATTGAAAATGAAATTGTTTTAGATTTTATTTATCTGTATATTTTATTAATTTTTAACTTGTTTTTTTTTTTCTCTTTAAATAATATAGATTGATACATGCATATCATTTAACAAATAGTTTACTTTAATATAGAATAAATAAATAAATAATTAACTAAATGTGTTTTGTTTTTCTTCAAAACAATTAATTTTAAAATAAATAATTGGCCTTATGGAAGTAAAATATTTCTAATTTGTATTGTCGATAATTTCGTTTCAAAAGAATAATTTCTATACAGATATTTACATATCTAGTTTCGTTTCTAAATTACACTAAAAAGTCCAAACTAAGAATTTTTATAACAAAATTTGATTGGTTCATATTTTTTTAATCAAATACTCCGCTGCTACTCAGTTCATTTTCTCTGCCATTGATTGCGATAAGCCATATATTGAGCATCATAGGCCTGCTGCGGTTCCACCGGTCTGGGCTGATAGCTGTCCGTTGTCGAATCATATTCATCCACTGGATTATCCGTTTGCAGTGATCTCTTCCAGTAGCCACCGCCCGATTCGCTCCAATCCTCGCCATGATCCTCATAGTGATGCTGATGATGAGCATGTTCAACATAGACAACCTGTTGTTAGAAAGATTTATTCTTTGAAATAAAAATTACCCAAGGAAATACCAAAGAGACCGGGTGTATTTAACAACAAACAAACAACCAACCAAACATATTACAGTTTGGAATAGGCGGGCGAGAGAAGGACAGGGTTAGGGGCCAAAGCACTCATTTGTCCTTCCCTAGATGTTGTGTGGTGTAAGGAATTATAGAGAGTGAAAAGAGAGTTTGTGATGTCTGGGAGTTTGGGTGTAAGTATAAATGTATGTATGTGTCATTGTGCAGTGTTATTGAGGAGGTAGTATACTAGAGAAAAACAATAATAACAATAACAATAAAACAATATTTAGTTATAATTTAACAAAGAAAAAATGTTCTAAATGCATTCAAATTTGTTTATTTTTCGAGTCGAAACATCTCAGTGATAGATTCTCTTAAATTGTCAATGGGAACGTCACAATGTACAAACAAGTAAAACTGCAGTAAGTTCGGCCCGACCAAATACCCTCCACCATTTGGATTGAATTTAAAAAAAAAAATCGAAAAAATAAAGTTGGTTAAGAATTCTGTTAAAATCTTAAAAATACCGAATATAGGGAGTTGCCGCTATAATGGGGGCTATACGCAGACCTGGACCGGCATAGAAAAATTTCTGTTATAGCAAATACGAAATTTGAAACAATTCAATGTAGCTAAAATCATCAAAATACTAAGTATAGGGATGTACCGTTATTTTGGGGCTATACGAAGACCTGGACCTGCATAGACTATTTTATGTCACAGGCTGTATTATCCTTTACGAATTTCAGGCACAAAATATGAAACAATTCCGGTGAATAAGATTGCTAAAATTGACACAGGCTGCAGCACCCTTTAAAAACTTCAAGTACAAAATTTGAAACAATTCCGGTGAATAATGTCGCTCAAATCATCAAAAAACCGAAAATAGGGAGATACCGTTATATGGGGGCTACACGAAAACTTGGACCTACATAGGCAACATTCTGTCACAGGGTGTAGTACCCATTACAAACTTCAAGTACAAAATATGGCGAATAATGTCGCTAAAATCAGAAGTGCTAGGTCTGATGTGAAGATGGAATATATCGAATCACTACCTCTGGAACCTCCCCACAAAGGGTCAAAATTTTGAATAACCATGAAGCTCTTTAAACGTGAAATGAACATCCGACTCCATTCAGACATGGTGCATCTCAATATTTCCACCAACACAAGATCTTTTGTAAAGATGGTAAAGATCAGACCATTTTTGCTGGTACCTCCCCCACATAAGGTTCCCCCGCTCAAAGAAAGCGAAATAAGCATCCACTCTCTTCAAATTTCACACTCTCTTCAAATTTTTCTCACTCTGTATTTGCAGGTACAATTCTTCGTATAGCTCCCCTATATCGGTACCTCCCTATATTCGATATTTTGATGATTTTAGCTACGTTATTTACAGGAATTTTTTCATGTTTCGTATTTGAATATGGCCTGTGACAAAAGTTGCCTATGCAAGTCCACGTCTTCGTATAGACCCCGATATGATGGTGACTTCCTATATTTGTTATTCTAGTTTTTAACAGAATTTTTAATGGATTTTATTTTTTTATTATTATTGTTTTTTTAATTTCCAAATTTGGTCCAAAGTTCAGGCCGAACTTACCAAATTCAGAAAAAAATCATTGAAAAATGCGACGTACATTTTTAAAATATTGGATGTCGGGAGGTACAGTGATATGTGTCAATTTGGAAATGGATGATATCCATTGCTAACTTCAAAAAAACCCAATTTGATACCATTGCTTTAAAAAAATGTGGCAAGGATGTTTGTTACGCACTAGGAAAAATTGCCTAAAATTTGTTTTAAAACTATTAATAAAACGCCCAAAACATTTAAAGGGTTTCGTTCATTTCGTTTGGAAGCTAGAATGGTTTCCATACACGGACGGACACGGCTACATGTACATAGCATTTAATACTGAATGCTGAGGTGCGCACATCTCTACATCTTCATTCTGTTACAGCCTTCATGCGTATGTTAGCATGGGCTTTTTGACTGATGAAGAATAAATAAGTTTTGATTTACTGGTTGGATAGGTTTCGACTCTTATTTTTTGTCCGGATTTATACTAGACAAGTTTACTTGTGTCAATTTTTACCTTTTTTTTCTCTTTTCAATTTGCCTCTTGCTTCTACAAACAAAGAAGTGCCGTCAGAAACCTTGCCTAATATAAATTCGGACATTTTAAAATTGTTCACCAATTTGAAAAAAAAATGTTTTCAACATATTTTACAAAATAATTAAACAATATAACTCTAATTTACAGGATACTTAAAAACAACAACAACAGCAATAGTAGTTAAAAAACCTTTTTGGATAATAAACATTCATACCTTTTGTGGTACTCCGCCACGTTTCACATCGATCCAAAATCTTGCAATATTTATCAGCAAACCGATTAGAGCTATGGCAAAGAATTTTATTTGTAAATGAGCTCCTAGAATTTTCAAAAGTAGCTCAATTTTTGCTTTCAGGAATGAGCCGAGTAGAATGAACTTTTGGATGGCCTTCTTCTTCTTCTTCTTTTTGCCACGAGTCACTGAAATATGAATAAATGCGAGACATTAGTAATCACTCGTTTTAGGCACAGGCAAAGGAGCTTAGAACTACAAAATAATAAAATAAAGCAAAAAACTGGGAGGTTGGTGTTTGTTAGTAATGGGTGCGTTTTTGAGTGCGTTAATATCCAAGGAGGTAAATAAGCAAAATAGTTAATATATACAAATATCGGTAGTGTTTGATAAAATTACAACATTTTCAACGCAAAATTATAAACATTGGTTTATCATGAATTCTTGGTCACTTATTCACTGACAAGCGTAAGCTTGGGACGCAATACAAGACAATAAATATCTTAAAATGGCACTGTATCTGTAGTTTGATATAATATTGCTATTTTACTGGGAAAAATGCGCTTTTACCAACACTTAACCCAAATCAACTATCAGACTTGAAAGATAATTTTATCATAAAATAATAATAAAAAACAAGTAAGCAAAGGCTACAGTCGAGCGGGGCCGACCGTTGAATACCCTACAACACTATAATAAGTGATACAGTTTATATAGGCGAGATACTCGAATGAATTCCACAAGATATTGTGACAAATAATAAAAGAAAACCATCAGGTTTCGTTCTCTAATTTTCGAATAATAGCAACTTGAGCTAATTTGCTCATTTCCAATTTATTGGTAGATGTTGCACGTAAATGGGCTTCCTGGATCTGGAACCAATATTTCCCAAAGACCTATAATCTCTCAGAAGTGGCAAAAGATTAAAATTTATTATTGGTTTTTGACTGAAACGCATCTATATGAGATACAGACATTTGACTATATTCTTCAACGAAATCAGCGTTAACGAAATAGTCAGAAGTGCGTTTTTCCTGTATTTGTGAATTCTCCAAAAAGTCACTGGAATGGACATTTTCGTATTTTGTCTACAAAAGTTGGCAAACTATTTCACACTTTGAATATTTTTGGATGGCCATCCAAAACTGCTTGGCTTTTGCAATGTCCGGTAACCCCCATTCAAATGTGCGTGAGGGTCGGGCGATAATTACGACCTGCTGACAATTTTGCAGTTTTTTGGTCCATTTCAACCCCTAAATATATAGCGATCATATCCAAAAAGAGTAGGCTTCTATTCTGACCCTCTCCATTCAAAATTTCGTAAGGATCGGACCATAAATGAGATCTGTATATGATATCCTGATATCCTAACTACTTAGTTTTGTTAGCTGTAGAAATATTAACAAATGTTTAATTCAAAATGAAAATATGCCAAAAATATGACAAAATTGAAAAAATATGAGAAAATTTTAGAAAATCAATATTTTCATCTTTAGAAAGATATTTTTATGCGATTTTTTTAGACGTTTTTTCTTTCCTGCCAAGAGGCCATTCTGAATTAATGAGAACAGTCGAAATCAGTTCAGCTGTTCTCGACATATAAGAGATCTTTCAAGCATATCTTCTTTGATAGACATATATATCGCATATATTTTGCTATATATCCGATTTGTTGGATGTTAACATCAATGTAAAGACCAGAAGTAACCTTGTCATGGCTTTGTGATTTCGCCGGGATTTAAAATATTCGCGGTTTAATGAAAATTTTTGAATTTTTTCAACACAAAAGATATGGTCTATTTTACCCGCTAAATATTATCCGATGACCACCCGAATTGGTAGGCTTCTTCCCCGACCTTAACTCTAGCTACATGCGAAATTCCGCGTCGATTGGTCTATAATTGCGACCTGTATAGCTACTGCAAAATCCGACATTTTTTCAGTATTTGGTCCATTTCAACCCCTAATCATTTGGCGATCATCTCCAAAAGAAATAGGGTTCTATTCTGACCCAAACCCCACCTTCGTGCAAAGTTTCGTAAGGATCGGGCCATAATTGCGACCTGTAGAGTGATTACAAATTAACAGGGACAGACGGACAGACGGACGGACGGACATACATAGCTAGATCGACTCAGCTCGGTGAGCTAGGAAGATCCATATATACTTTCCTATATGGGAAACCAATATTTCGTGGTGTTACATAATTTTTGGCCCAATCAAACTTATAATACCCCCAACACATAGTGTTGTAGGGTATAAATACAAATAATTTTATAATACACATGATTTTACAAAGATCACAAATTGTTAATTAAATTCAAATGTAATCAACATAAAACCAGTAAAGAAAGTCTTAAAGTCGGGCGGGGCCGACTTTATGATACCCTACACCACTTTGCTAATTTAGTAGAGCTCCACATAACAATTAAAAGTTTTTTTTATGGGAGAATACAATCATACACGCTATGATTATAATTATAATTTAAAGTTCAAAAGACTAAATATGCCGAAGCATTTGTTTCTTTTAAATTCGGAATTATATTGCCCATTTGGTGCACAATTAATCTGAAATCGGATAAAGATATATATGGGAGCTATATCCAAATCTAAACCGATCTCGATAAAATTTGGCAAAGATTTTTCCGAGCTGTATTTGATATATTTCCCTGAATATCGTTGTTACGGAGTGCATATTACGGTTGTGGGTAACAAATATAACAAATCGGATGAATAATATATATGGAAGCTATAGCTATATCTGAACCGATCTTCTTTTGACATACTACCTTCCAGACTCAATTTGGTCGTAAGTGCCAAATTCCATCCCATTTGGACAAATATTAGACGTTTGTTGCACAATAAAAGGTAAATCGGACGAAGTTATATATGGGAGCTATATCCAAATCTGAACCGATCTCGATAAAATTTAGCAAATGTATTTCTGAGCTGTATTTGATATATTTGTTGTTTCAGAGTGCATATTACGGCGGCGGTGGACAAAAATAAGAAATCGGATGAATATTATATGTATGAGAGCTATAGCTATATCTGAACCGATTTCGATCAATTTTGGCATACTTATTTTTTAATTAGGTTGTATGTGCAAAATTCCATACTATTCGGACTGATATTACACGTTTGGTACACAATAAAAGGCAAATCTGACGAAGATATACATGGGAGCTATATCTAAATTTTGCTTTGTTTACAAAAATACATGGACAGACGGACGGACGGAAATGCATAAATCGACTCAGAATGTGATTCTATGCAGATCATCAAAAGGAACTATGGGTCTATCTCGGGTGTCTATGGGTCTATACCCTGACCACCTTGTGGGTGTAGGGTATAAATATTACATATACCGCATAAAGGATATATATTCTTAACCAGCAAAAGGTTCAATGTGCGATTTTGCTTCCGAACGAAATGAAGTAGGTTGAAATACATTTTAGGTCCCTAGAATTCTTTATACCCTCCACCATACATAGTGTGGAGGGTATATTAAGTTTATCATACCGTTTGTAACTCATCGAAATAATAATTTTAGAGCTAACAAAGCATATATATATATATATATATATATATATATATATATATATACCCTCCACACTATGTATGGTGGAGGGTATAAAGAATTCTAGGGACCTAAAATGTATTTCAACCTACTAAATTTTAAGACGAGTTCACCCGAATAAAAATAGGAAGCTGAAAATTTGCACATATCAATCTTTTGTCTATGATATCGGTCCACAATATCACATAGCCCCCATATAACAGTTCCCCCCGATATTCGGAATTTTGATGATTGTAGCCAAATTTGCCAATGAAATTTTCTGAAAATCCACACAAAGAGTTCCTTCTGAGTACTTTACCCCTTGGAAGAATATTGTCCATATAGCTCCACGATATCGTATATCCCCATATGACGGTACCTCCCTATATTCTGAAAATCCACATAAGAAATTCTTTCTATGCAGTTTACGCCCTGAAAGAGAATTGTCTATATAGGACCACGATATCGTATAGCCCCCATACCACGACATTCGGTATTTTGATGATTTTAGGGGCATTATTCACCGGAGTTGTTTCAAAATTCGAATTTAGAGTTTTTAATAGGAACTACAGTCTAATGCAGAAAATTGTCTGAGCAGGTCCATATCTTCGTATAGGCCCAATACATCAGCACCTCCCCATATTCGGTATTATGACGATTTCAGGTAAATTTCGTATTTGAAGTTTCTAATGAAAATTGTCTATGCAGGTCCACGTCTTGGTATTTACCCCAATATAAGGGCTTATTCGGTATTTTTACGATTTCAATAGAATTTTTAAAATACGTTAACTATTCTGTTAAAATCTTTTCTTATTTTATTTTATTTTTATTTATTTATTTTTTTTTTTTTTTTTTTGAAAATTTCCAAATTTGTTCCAAATGGTGGAGGGTGTTCAAAGTTCGTCCCTGTCGAACTTGCTACCACTATATAACTGTACCGGAAGATTTAATATGTTCTGGTCATTTGAGACCCTATCTAAACTGAATTTTTTGCAAATTGGTAGTAGAACTGTTTATATAGGTCTATGTCTTGACAAAGTCCCCACATAACTGTACCTTCCGATATTCACGATAATATATAAACTTGGAGTTCGTGATGTGTGCTACCTCTATAAAAAAAACTGTCCAAAAACGGGGCCATGTCTTCAAATAGCGCCCATATATACCTCTCGATATTCGGTATTTTCACGATTTTACCCTTATTTTTCACCAGAATTGTTTTAAATTTAATGGATACTACTTTGCAATGGATACTACTTCATGTGACAGGAAATTGCAGATGCAAGTCCACGGATTCGGCAAAATGTTCTCACATTTTCGTATTATCGTCGTATAACAATACCGAGCGATATTCGATATTTTGATAATTTATGTTATTTTTTACGTAATTTTTTCAAATTAGGTATTTGAAGTTCGTAATTGGTACAACTTCCTAGCAAAGAAAAGTATTATCTTCGTATATCCCACATATGATGGTAGTATCCGATATTCGGTATGTCCTTATTTTTTCATAGACAAGTTGAATGGAGGCAATTTTTATTGTTTTTTCATCATTGCCTTTTCTGCGATTTTTTATTATACTTGTGTATAAAAATAAAAACACAGAATTAATTGCAGTAGGAACAGACA